GGGGGGGGGGGCGCTCCTTAAGTATGTTGTTCTGTGATCCCACCTGGGCATTCCTCACATGACAACTCACCATAAGGTGGCCATATAATCACATCTCCTTTTCCCTGCAGACTGTGATCTCCATGAGGACAGGGACACAGTTTGCCTCAGTATGGTAGCCCCTGGCACATAGTACGTGGGGCTCAGGGAACTTTGTTAGCTGGTTGAGGATTGAAGGACATTGTGGAGACCTTCCAGACACCTAAGGGGACAGAGCCCATTTTATATTCATCTTCTCTCCCATCCACTTAGGTGGCCACTAACACAGATACCAGTCGAAATGCGGGCAGTGCGGTCCTGTTTGAGACTGTGGTCACCATCATGGACATCCGCTCTACAGCTGGCCTGCGGGTATCATCTCATATGCCTCTCACTGTGGCCCCATCCACCTACCCCAGCCAGGAAGACAGGTCCTGTGCCAGGCAGTCCCCACTCCTGAATGAGCAGATTGCTCCTTCCCTAACTGTCCCCAACCTCTGCCTCCCATAGGTTCTAGCTGTCAACATTCTTGGCCGCTTTCTGCTCAACAGTGACAAGAATATTAGGTAAAAATTCCAGGAGTCTCTCTGGGTTGTGCCACTAAGTCCCTGGCCCTCTGCCCTTCTCCCAGAGTCTCCCAATTCATTCTTATCCCTGTACCCAGGGCAGAACTGTGCGGGGAGGAGGGTTGCTGGCCATGGTGTGATGAGCTTCTCCCATTCTGTCCAGGTACGTAGCCCTGACGTCATTGCTGCGACTGGTGCAGTCGGATCACAGTGCTGTGCAGCGACACCGGCCCACCGTGGTGGAATGTCTTCGGGAACCTGATGCCTCCCTCAGCCGGTGAGCAAGACAAAGGGCCCAGCTCCTGGTGGCCAAGATCTGGACCAGCTCAGAGCAGCTGGAGTAAGGGGACTAAGAGGTGCCTGGGGAAGGGGAGGGCCTAGGCTACCTCATATAGACACGCATCTTTCTCCTGGCAGGCGGGCCCTGGAACTCAGCCTAGCTCTGGTGAACAGCTCCAATGTGCGAGCCATGACACAAGAGCTTCAAGGCTTCCTGGAGTACTGCCCCCTTGATCTGCGGGCAGACTGTGCCTCAGGCATCCTGCTGGCAGCAGAGAGGTGAGGTGACAGGTGCCCAGGAGGCAGAGAGGGTGAAATCTAGAGAGGGTCAGTGCCAGGACTGAAGTTCCATATGTCCCCTAGGTTTGCCCCAACCAAACGATGGCACATAGACACTATTCTGCGAGTGCTGACAACGGTGAGGCAGGGGCTGGTCTGAGAGAGCTGCGCAGGGGTGGGCAGGGCTCACCACACTGACTTGGCCACATTCACTGCTCCAGGCAGGCACCCATGTTCGGGATGATGCAGTGGCCAACCTGACTCAACTGATTGGCGGGGCCCACGAGCTACATGCCTACTCTGTGCGCCGCCTCTATAGTGCCCTGGCACAGGACATCTCCCAGGTAATGTTTCCACCACCCAGGTTCTGGGCTGCCTAAGCCCCCCAGCCCTTCCTGGGCCAACTACTCTTTACAGGTGTTTCCCAGTGGTTTTTTCCTCAAAGTAATAACTTTCTGCTTAGTGGAGGAGACACTCAAGGACAGAGCCATTTTTAGTAAGAACACCTGGACTTCTGTCTTGGTTCTGGTACCTACTGGCTGTGTAACCAGATGACTAATTTAACTTTCTTTATGCTTAGCACACTCAGCTTTCTACCCTGCCCACCTTCCAGAGCTGTCTTGCAGATCAAATGAGATCAATAAAAGCTCTTTCTGCATGTATTTGGTTTTTATATTACCTAAATACTGAGCTAATTAATGGTTGCCAGCCAGTATCTATAGCCCCTTTCCATATTAAGTAGGGTGGGTACAAACCATCCATGCCTTCTCAAGGGAGGGCCCCACACTTCATCCTTGCTGCACCCTTTGTGGTTAGACTATGTAGTTCTGATGCTTGGCCGCCAGAGGGCAGAGGAAGCCCAGGAGCCAGGACAGCAGGGAGACAAACTCTAACATAACTGCTCCTTGTGCCAAGGCCCTTTCCTTTACCCATCCCTCCAGACCCCACCTAAAGGGATGTTACAGGGTCTGGAAGTGAGGAGGGGAACCAGACACTGGTCCAGCATGTTGCTTATCCTACACAGCAACCACTGGTGCAAGTGGCAGCCTGGTGCATTGGAGAATATGGGGACCTTCTGCTGGAGGGGAGCTGTGAGGAAACTGAGCCACTTCAGGTGAGACCTGCACTGAGGGTGCACTGAGGAGGGACCTGTCAGGGAAGGCAGGGCTGGCCCCAGGGTCACAACCTGTGCTCCTCACCCCCCTCAAAGGTGGAGGAAGAAGAGGTGTTGGCATTACTAGAAAGGGTGTTGCAGTCCCATTTGTCCCTGCCGGCCACCAGAGGATATGCCCTCACGGCCCTCATGAAGCTTAGCACGCGGCTTCGTGGGGACAACAAGTAAGAAGGGGTCCCGGACCCTCCCAGAGACCCTCTTCCTGGTGCCTCCCGTGAGCGACGTCCCTTCACTGTGCCCACCAGTTTCTGAGTCTCTCTCCAGGCACACACCCCATCACCCCCAATTCTTAGGTTCTTCCATTTGAGCCAAGTATCATGGCTACCTCCCTGCCCTGTGGGGCCTCTCCCTTCCCTGCCACATCCTGGAGTTGAAGGGCAAGGCAGGCTGCCGATCCCACTCACACATCATCCTGTGGCCCAGCCGCATCCGCCAGGTGGTGTCCATCTACGGAAGCTGCCTGGACGTGGAGCTGCAGCAGCGGGCTGTGGAGTACAACACACTCTTCCGGAAGTATGATCACATGAGGTATGACTGGCACTGTGCCACAGCACAGGACCCAAACCCCTGCCCTCTCCCCAAATGTCCTCTTCCCAAAGTCCCTTTCTGGGTACAAGGGTCTCAACCACACTTGTGCCTCCCACCCATAGTTCCTTGAAGCTAAGCTGGCTTCCAAACCTCCTTGCTCATCTGGAAACCAGCAAGTGTGCTACCTTAGGAAGTCAGAGGGGCGCTTCCAACCCACCACGTGCCCAGGGCTCCCCGAGGTCTTACTCCTCTCGTGCCTCTCATAAAAAGTGCAAGGTTCACCCAGAGGGATACACCTGCATTCCATCCTCTCAGGGCTGCCATCCTAGAAAAGATGCCTCTTGTGGAACGAGGTGGCCCTCAGGTAGATGAGGAAGTAAAGCAAAGCAAAGCAGCAGCCCAAATTTTGGAACCAGCCCCTGTCCCAACAGAGCCCCAGGTAAGGAGGCCGGAAGCCCCAGGGGGAAGAGGACTTAGTCGGGCTTCCATACCTAGCCCTGCTCCTTCTGCCCTTTTCCCCAGGCCTCAAAGCTTTTGGATCTGTTAGATCTCCTGGATGGCACTTCTGGGGATGCCCAGCAGCCTCCCCCTCTGGATCCCTCCCCAGAAGGCACTTTAATACACCTGCTGGACCTTCCCTGTGCTCCCCCAGCCCCAGGTAAGCCTCAGTAAAAGGGAGATGTCTTGGAGGGGGTGTGTGTAGAAATGTGCTGCTTCTCCTTAGCCAGGGACTGAGGCTTGGGTACCCTCTTCCCTGCCTTGTACCCCCATCACATCCCCATCTTAGTAGGTGAGAGGGTTCATTAGATCATGTATTCCCTTCCTAGATACCATCAATGTCTTTCCTTTGTTCCAGATGTCTTACCCTGGCATGTGGGCCCTGCTTCCTCCCTAGCCCATCTGATATACTTTCCTGCCACCCACTCCACTGGCCCCCTCTCAGCTCCTCAGACCCTCTCACCTCAAGCCCTTGGCAATTCATGTTCTTTTTACATGGAATATTCTTTCCCCAGCACATCAAATGACTGGCTTATTCTTACTCTTCAAACCTCAGCTAAATGTCAGATGCCTCAGCTAAAATGTCAGGTGCTTCCTCTACCACTCCTATTTGAGTTAGTTCCTCCCAGTTATTCTGGCCTAGTTTATTTCCTTCTAGCACCAATTATAGTTTGTGATTATCTTGCTTTTCTTGTTTATTCTCTCCCCCAACTAGATTGCCAGCTCCAAGTTTTTGTCCTTTGTCACTAGCATCTCAAGCAGTGCCCTGCACCCAGTGGGTGCTCACTTAAATTTGTTGAATGAATGAATGAATGAATGAATGAACGCATCTTTGGCCCATACAGTGAGCTGCTTCTTTCTCCCTACTCTAGCTTCCATCCCAAATCTCAAAGTGTTTGAGCGTCAAGGACTACAGCTGAATCTGTCTTTTGTTAGACCCCCTGGAACCCCTGCTTTGCTCTTAATCACTGTCACAGCTACCAACACCTCAGAGGGTGATGTTACCCACTTCATCTGCCAGGCTGCTGTGCCCAAGGTTTGTAGAAGACCAGAATTCAGAGGTGGCCTGAGCATTCCAAGAGAAAAGGCCAATAAGTAGAGGAGGTGGGTGGGAGAGAGAATGAGATGAGAAGGGAGTGACGTGCAGAGACAAACACTTGGGGTTATGGGAAGAGGGTCTGAAACTATTGGGTGTGCAGGGCTTGCCTGAACCCAGCTAGCTCTGCCCAACCTCCTATGCTCAGAGTTTCCAGCTGCAGCTACAGGCCCCCAGTGGGGACACAGTTCCAGCTCAGGGTGGCCTTCCAGTGACTCAGCTCTTCCAAATCCTCAACCCTAACAAGGTGAGCTCCAGGAGCCCCCTGTGAATAAGACCCAGAGAAGGGAGAAATTATCTGTGCTAACCCTGGTCTCCACTCTCCTATTCCTAGGCTGCCTTGCGGTTAAAGCTGCGCCTCACCTACAACCACTTTGGCCAGTCGGTGCAGGAGATCTTTGAGGTGAACAACTTGCCTGTGGAGACATGGCAGTAACTCAGCCTCCACTCACAGCCTGAAATCCTCATGTCCCAAACCCTTGGGTTCCCAGCTACTTGGAACCTACATCTGAGGACTACCAGCAGGTGGCACTCTGGTCCTGTGCTTGCCACTGCAAAAACTGGAGGGGGCCTGACCTCCTCCCCCACAAATAATGAAAGCCCAATAAAGCCTGAGGGAGCAAGTCATATTTGTTTATATTTGAGGTAGAAAACAGGAAGTATGTATCTTCCCTTGGCCTTAGGAACCTGTTTCAACAAAGGAGCGTTTTCCCTACCCTCTCCAGTCTGGGGAACAAATCTGACCCCACAGGAGGCACTCTAAAATCTGGGCCAGAGCAGAGCACAGTGGCAAAATCAAACCAGAATTTCTAGATTTCCAACAGGGATTCTCACCCATTTCCCCAACCTGCTGCTATTCCCCACACCCCAAGGTAGGGAAATCCCTGCTGCCTCTCTTCATCTCTAACTCAGCTGTAAGGTGGTTTAGGAGCCGCTGGCAGAATCAATGGCATCGACCAAGGGAGGGGGGGTGGCAAGGGATTTTCCTGTGCTTAACTACTGATCATGGCTAAGTGGAAATCCTATAAACACGAGCGGAAATCAATGGAGGCTGCTTAGCGGCCAGGGGAGAGGGGCGGCCCACAGATTGCATCTGACGGATGAGGGAGAGGAGGCAGCCTGGGAGGGCTCCACAAAGGATAACTAAGGGTAGGGTGAAGAAACAGGCAGAGCTGGTGAGAGGAGTCACTGTGGGAAGGGAAGCCATGGGGACAGGCACAGTGAGCAAAGGAATGAACCCCATTAGGCTCAGTTTTCTTCCTGTTGTTGATGAAGTGACACCCTAGCCCAGGGTACTGTCAGCATCTTTAGTCCCCTGTAGCTTCTCTCTGGAGCTGTATACTTCTAGCAGGCGCTGATAGTCCTGAGGCCGGAAGCGCTGTAGATACACGATCAGCTTGGCAGGTGGTGTCTCCTGTGCCAGCACACCTACAGGCAAAAGGAGAATAAGAGAACCAGACAGAGCTGCAAATGCTTTGAGTCTACTCCCTGCCCACACAGTTGGACCCCAAAGTTGTTTCCAAGGCAGCACTGGGATTCTGCACGCCATCTGACTAGCTTGTGTAACCCACCAGCTCACTCCCTGATTGGCCTGTGGAACTGGGGCCTAAAAGGGCCACTTTAGGCAGGAATGGGGCTGAGAAGCCAAGCATGAGCTCCTCCAGCAAGGAGAAATGGGGAAGAGGCATGCAGGCACCATGAAGACAGAACGTACCTGAATATTGACTAATTTCAGTTATTGCTCCTGTCCCCCAATCAAGATTAAAGTCCATCTAGGCAGGCCAAAGCTCATTAGTTTGGTAATGAAGCATGTGCAGAGATGCACACATGTAGAGAGAAATCGAGGGATGTGTAAAGAAGAGGAGAGCCCTACCCAGTGTGGCTCAGTTGAAGTGTCAGTCCGTGCACCAAAGGGTGTCAGATTCAATTCCTGTCAGGGCAACCCAGGTTGTGGGTTCAATCCCTGGTTGGGGCGAGAATGGGAAGCAACCGATTGATGTTTCTCACACTGATGTTTTCTCTCTCACCCTCTCCCTTCCTCTCTAAAATAAAAAATAAGATAAAGGAGAGAAACAGCTGTAGCCATGAGGTGGGACACACATAGAATTCTAGCCTCTATATGGTGGAGCCATGATAAGCCAGTTCTTATTGGTAGTACCTGACAGCATACTGGGCACCTCAGTGTATGTTTGCTGAGGAGGTGAGAACAGCTTTCCAGGGCTGTAAGGCTTCATGGGATGCACAACCCCATACTTGTGTGAATGAACTGTCTACAAGGGCACTAAGCCTAGGAACAGAGAAAAATCTGCCAGTGTTTGCCCTGCTGTCTCTCATACATACATTATTGCTTTTTACTAAAAGCTAACAGGATAAATTAAATGAAGATCTAGGTAGTTGTAAAAATGAGGGGATAGGAGTTGGGAGAAGGAAGGATGGATTGAAGGACCCCTGGGGTGGCCAGAGGTATGAGACTTAAATCAGAATGACTGGGATAGATCCCAGACACTTGGAAGAATTAAATCCAGATTAGACAGCTACTGCAAAAGAGGAAATGGGATTTGATAGAGCCCTAAGAAAACTGGGTCTTCTAGAATATTGCTAAAGCAATTCCCATTAGAAAAATAACCCCATGACTCTTCCCACTAACTGGCCCAGGAGGTACATCCAGAAGAGGAACGGGGAAAGCATAGAAGGGTCCGTCTCCCTCACCAAGCATGCTGCTGAGCTTGTTGATCTTCTCTAGGGCAACTGGGACTTCAGCCTCTTTATGCACCACGGCCTCTATTTCACCCACAGCATAGCCAAAGTCCGTTGTATCCAGGTCCACCGTGAGCAGAGGCTCCTCTTTATCAGCTCTGGATAGCACCAGTTTCCAGGCACTACGATCTGTCACAAAACTAGCTACTTCCTGCAGCCCCAGTGGGCCCAGCACAGCAGTCACACCCTCAGCCCCCAGGGCCTCAGCCCCCAGCACCTGGTAGAGCTGGGCCACAATTGCAGGCTCAGCAGTGAGTTCCCTGTACTCAGCGTGGGGTTCTGAAACACCTGCTGTTCCAGGACATTTGAGCTCCCATCCACTATTTTCTCGCTGTCGCAGCCAGTGGTCAGCCCGCATGAGGCTCAGCTCAGGGGTGTCGTAGTAGCTGTCTCGGAAGGTGACCTGGTGCTCCAGGGTGCCCCCCAACTCCTGCAGCCGTTCTTCTGTTTCAGGCCCAGGAACGAACTTCCGCTCCACCTCAATCAAGCCCTGGGCCATATTACCTGCAATCAGTCAATCAACAATCATTTGCTGAGCTCCCAAGGGTGCTCAGCCTTACAGGGTGACAGCTCAGCAAAGACACCCCCTCCGCCCAACGCCACTCCTGGAAGAACTTATGAGACACACACGCTGTCACAGGGCTCTCTGTTAGTGATGCAGCCCGTTCTCCCTGCCTCTGTGATGGAAGGCCACCATCTGTCTGATATTTTAAGACTGCAACAGTGACAGGTGTCCAGTAACATCCTTTGCACCGCTGATGATGCACCGCGTGGCCAGTGTTCTTCCAACGCTCCCCTCTACACCTCCTACACCTCGGTGCCCTGGGAGGCCGGTGGCTCAGTACCCGGATTGAACCCTCCCGACCCAGACCTTCCAGGCCACAGCGCGGTCCGGAGGAGCCTGGGGTCTCACCTCAAAGCCCGAGGGTCTCCCTCTCGCGGGACCTGGAGATGGTGGACGAGAGTCCACGCCACGCCCGCAAGGAATGCCGGGAACAGTCCCTGGCCCTCACTTTGGCCCGGCTCCGCACACCAGGCCAGTCCCAGCGCGAGCGGCCATATTAAGCCCGGTGTAGTGGGGCCACGGGCAGGCTAGCCCGAGAGGCCTGCTAGGTTTTAAGGGGCCGGGGCCTCCGTAGTAGGACGGGAGCGAGGCCGTCCCCATGTGCTCTGCTTTTGGTCTGCGACCTTTCCCGGCTCCCCGGGGGTCGGTCCGGGTCTCGGGCTTCAGGCTGAGCCGGGCACCGTGGGGCCTGGGTGCATGATGGGAGATGTAGTTCCAAAAGGAGACTTTGCTCCCCACCCCTACCATCACCGTCGCTATGGTGACAGGAAAGCTGCCATTAGTGCCAGGGAAACTCTAAAGTTGAGCTGGGGCTGTGGGGAGAGTAGGATGGGAGGAACTGAGGCCCCAGTCTCGTCTCCAAACCTCTAACTCCATAAGTAGATGGGCCTGGAATACAAGCCACTCATTCAGACACTGATCTTTTTTTCTTTTTCACTATTGGGGGGCCCACTAAATGCAGGCCACTGGCAATGGTCTAATAAAAGCACAACTAAGACCTCCTGGCTATTCTGGAGTTTTAGAGGAGATTTAATACCTCTTGGCATGAATGTTCAGGGTGAGGGTGGGTGGGAAACTTTCTGTCCGAGGAGGAAGTGATATTTTGGATGGGAACTAAAAATGTGATGGGATTTCAACAGTTGGAAACTCTGATGGAGACAGGAACGTCTAAGCAAAGACCCAGGAGCTGGAGAGCGCCTGACCAGTGTGGAAGGAGATGAAGCTTGATATACACAGTTGAGGAGCAGGTTGGAAAAGGCCTTTAGTGCCAGACTTAGGAGTTTGTCACAGTTTCCAATGGTCCCTGAGCAGGCTTTGTCAGGAGTAGAAGACATGGCCATTTAAAATACAGAAAGACATAAGGGTGGCCCTTTGACTGCTTTGGGAGACAAAATAGAGAACGCTTCTTAGTCCCTCTGAGGACTATGGTTACCTGGAGGAGTCAATTATATGTCTGACCCTATGGATGTGATAGCTTGCTGAGGAACAGTGGCTCTCACCAACTCCCTTCTATGATTGGTAAGAAGTGCTAGGTTCTCAACACCTGTCCTCTCCACAGTATACTTCTGAAAACACATGACCCATGGTATGTACTGGGGGAGGACACTGTTTTACAGACATGGTATTTTGACCTTGGGATGTCTTTGACGCATCCCTTCCCCCATGCCATGACAAGCACCAATGGGCAGGGAGCAGAGGGACCTCAGCCCTTAACTCTTCTCACTGATCTGTTTTTCATCTGTCCTTTGTTTTTCAGTTTTGTTGTCCAGGGGAAGAAGACCTAATCTCTTCCCTGAATTATAAAACCCAATCCCAGTGGGCAGAGGCAGCAGTTAAGGAAAAGGAAAGACCAGACTTTGGAGACAGACAGACCTGGGGTTAACTCCCAGCTTCACTTTCTAGGTGTTTGGCTTTGGGCAAGCTACTTTGTCTCCCTAAACCTCTGTTTCTTCATTAGTAAAATGTGGACTGCCTCACAGTTATGTGTGAGAATTCAATGACAAACTGTCACATACTAGAAATTCTGAATGTTAGTTTCTCCTTTGTTTTCTCCTATGAACTCCAGGGGAAAAGTAGGCTATAGCAGCTAATGTGGGCTCTGGAGCCAAACCATTGAGGTTTGAATCCTGGCTCTGTCACTTACTGACCCACCGTGAGACCTTGGGCCAGGTAATTAACTTGTTTGTGCCATGGTGTCCTCAATTGCAAAATGGGGACTAGTTATGAGGATTAAGTAAGTTAATATATGTAGAGATGCTTGGAACTGTCCCTGTGCACTCCATAAATCTTAGCAATTATTGTTATTACAATATAGAAGAGCTTAAGAGTTAATAAACTGAAGATGTGCCCAAGGAGCCAGGATCTCCCCTCCCCCCAACTCTGGGGACTGTGACCGCGTGGGGGGAGGGGAGGGGGAGGGG